AAGTTACAGAGAATTAAATGAGTTGCCGAGGGCCAACAAGCTAGTAAATTTCTATGGTGAGATTTTTAACTCAGATTTTTTTTTAATTCTAAGTCCAACATTCTATTCATTATACTATATTGGAGAGAGTGAGGAAAATAGAGCATTTCATTCCATCATTAAATACCTTAAGTCAAGATGTCCCAAAAGTCTTAGTCCCAGTGCATTGAGACTTTTGGGATAGCCTGCATTTAAAACAGGAACCTGCAATCTCATTGCTTCAATGAATTGTGCCCTCTATTTTCACACGTTGAAACCCCTTTCATACTACTCTAGCTATTTAGTGAGGTTTTGTAAAAAAAATTCACCTAGTACCCAGCATTTTATTGATGAGACTCTCTGGGATTCTTTACATGACCCCATTTCTCAAACCATTTAAACTTGGTAGAATCTTCCAGAACTTGAATTTCACTGTTAGACCCTTTGAAAACCCAGGATTACCTACAAGGTATGCTGTCACCTATGAGTCAACCAAGAAGGACTTCGCCAGAGATATCATTAGAAATCAGGCTTGGAGTACAAAAGTTCATGGTCTCATGAATCCTGAATTGGAAGAGATTGGGGTGGTCATTTAGTTCAGTGGTATCAAATTCAATAGAAGTGGATCCTTGCCTCCAGACATATTGAGTTAGAAAATCACAAATTAGCATTATCTTTGCTGTATTTTTATATATTTTGGTAAACATTTCCCAATTATGTTTTAATCTGATTGAGGATTTGAGAGTTTTGAAGTCCAAGTTTGACATCTCTGATTTAGTCCAATTCTTTCATTTTACAGATCAGGAAATTGAGGCTCAGAGAAGTTAAATAAGTTGGATCCAGGATTTGAACTTAGGTCTTCTGACTACCAATTAAGTACTCTTTCCATGGTATTATGTTCCTTGATGATATTACGAAGAACTTATTTTCCAGCTCCCTAGGAAGAAAAAAAGGGGGTGGGGTGGCTTGGAGGGGACAGAGAAGGAAGCTTTGTCCCTTTTCTCTCATAGCTCTAGAAGTTTGAGGCATATCCTTTTTGGGGCCAGATGAGCAGACCATGCCTGGGAGACTAGTTTTGTTTATCCCATTTTAGCTAGTGCATGAATGACCTGGAGAGTAACCAAAGCAGAGGAAGGAGGCACATGGTTGAAAGAGTTTTGGATTTGGAATCAAAGGAGCAGAGAGGAGAGGTGAACCAGAAGGACTATGAGGTATCTCCTTCCTTACCTTCACCCCTTGGGAACCCTGGATTTCTTTCAAGACTTAGTTCAAGGGACAACTTCTGCATGAAGAGCTTCCTGATCTCTCTGTTAGTGTCTGGGATAGAGCTCCGCGTCTGGAGTCATGAAGACCTAGGTTCAAATCCTGCCTCAGACTCTTATTAACTGGAAGACACTGGGCAAACCACTTGACCTCTCTCTGCCTCAGTTTCCTCATCTGTAAAATGGAAATAATAGCACTGACCTCCCTTGGTTGTTGTGAGGATAAAATGAAATATCTGTCAAGTGCTTTGCAAACCTTAAAATGTTATTTAAATACTGTTATCACTACTATTACCCTCCCTTCCACAACTGCTTTGTATTCACTCATGTTGCGTAATGTATGCATGATGCTGCACACACACACACACACACATGAATGTAAGCTTCTTGCAACCAGGAACTTACATTATTTCACCTTGTATCCCTAGTCCTCAACACTTAATGAAGACTTGTTGATGCACTAATTGATTAAAATGGTTTTTATTTCAATAAGGATGATACCCCCCTTTTCCTCCACCCCGTTTTCTGAACAGATAGAAAAGATACTCATCCTGGATCACAGATTCACAAACTCTGAGCTGGAAGAGAACTTGCAGGTTATCTGGTACAACTCTCTCACTTTAGACTTGAGGATACCAAGTCCCAAAGTGATTAAAATGACTTTTGACAGAGTTGTAAGTGCCAGAGTGAGAATTTGAGATCAGGTCCTCTGATCTTGTCTGGATCAGAAGACAAGTTATAGCTATGATACTACCTGGCGCATGTGTGAGTAACTTAACCTCCCTGAGCTACTAGGATCAAAGCTTTAAAGCTAGAAGGGATATTGGAAATCATCAAACCCCCCATTTTGCAGGTGAGGAAACTGAGGAAGAGTGACTTGCCTGATGAGGTCACTCTCTAAATGGCAGAGTCAAGTTTTTAATCTAGATCATGTGACTCTAATTTTATTATCTCTCTATTACATTATTATGTCAATCATTTCTCAATTTAGTCTTAATTTTAAATGAGTCCATAGATCTCCTCCGTTTTTTTTATCATTTTCATCCTTATCTCTTATTTCCATATTTCAATATTGCATTTTAATTTTGCTTCCTCCCTTCTCCTCCTAGTGAAATAATACAGCATAGAAGATATTCATGAATATCTGAATAATGGATATAATAATGTTCATAGGAGCTTTTCCATGGTACTATTTGGTGAAGAAAGTGCTTTGTGCAAAACATAAAGTGATAGAGAAATGTGAGGACCTAGGAGAAGTCCCCTTTCCTACAGTTGGGCTGAAATTGCTCAGCACCTCTTTGGGGATAAGAAATCTAAGAGGAGGGAGGTTGGGTGTTGCATCCAGCTCCACAAGTTCTGAAAGACAATCTAGTGCCTATGGTCATAATTAAAAATTACAAGCATTCTGGGGGGCAGAGGAAAAGAAGGAGGCTTACCTAGGATGCCTGTGGTGAAAGGGATTGAGTGTGGTTAGAATGAGGCCCCCTTTGACTATATTGTGCAGGGCTGATCAGGTACAGAACTGATAGTTATGAAGGAAGCAGGGGGAGGTATTGCCTGTGCCCTGAAAATTTCTAGTGGGTCAGAAAAGCTCTTCTGATGTAGGACAACAAGAGAGGAGTAGGTGGGGTAAACATGATCCTAGTTGGTGTTTTATGTGTTCTGGCCTTAGACCACAGCTCTAATTATCTCACCCTAGTTTGGGCTCTGCTAAGACTACAATAAGGGATGTCCCTACTTCCCTCTGGGAGAGTTTTCCTTAATTTGGAGAGCCCACTAGCAATTTCCAGGAGTTCCTACTACCAGAACATCTGGTCTTTTATGTAGGGCCAGACTAGCAATTTTGTTGTTGTTCAGTCACATGGGACTCTCTGTGACCCCTTTTGGGGTATTCTTTGCGGAGATAATGGAGTGGTTTGCCATTTTCTTCTCCAGCTCATTTTAAAGATGAGGAAACTGAAGCAAGAAGGGTTAAGTGACTTGCCCAGGTTACACAACTAGCAAACAAGTGTCTGAGGCTAGATTTGAACCCAAGAAGATGAATCTTTCTGATTCCAAGACCAGGGCTCTACCCCCTTCACCACTGAGCTGCCATCTAGTAACTTTACCAAATCCAATCTACTGTATTCTTGCTTTCATGTTGTTTTTTTTTTTTTTAACATAATAGAGATGCTGAAAACTGTTTGGCTCGATCGGTCCACAGTGTTCCCCGCAACAAAACAGAAGCTTTTCTTCATTAGTAAGCAAGCTCTCGGTTGCTAGCTGAGATGGAACTACAAAGGCAGCATCTTCTGTAGTCTTAATAGCATTAATTAAGGTGGGCTGACAAAGGGGAGAGAGAGTGACACAGGACTGATGAACATTCAGTGTCCAAGAGAGCTGACCCTATTAAACTATTATGGAAAAGAACTCATCTTACCTGCTCTGCCTACAGATAACCCAGCAAAATCCATTGTATTTTATTCACTTTCCATTCTAATCTAATTACATTTCTTTGTTTGTTGGCTGAACATCATGCTAAGCAGGCCATTCTGGCTCCAGGACAAGGAATGAGGGTTGGAAATTTGATTTGGAGTGAATATGCGATTCATTAGAATTGGGATTAGGGACTGACCGATTCATTCCTATTCCTGAAAGCTGTGTGTGAGTCTGGATCCCAGCCTGTAACAAATGCCACTTTCCTAGTCCTTGTTATGTTCGGAAACTGCTTTCTTGGCAAACACCTTCCCCTTGCCTGAATCACTCTTGTACTAACATACCTATCTGCACTCTTCACCCTCTTCCTCCTCCTCGAAAATGAAGCTAAAAAGCAGAAGTCTGATTATTAACACTCTTATTGTTAATGTTGCGACATGACTGCAGAAAGGATTTCCTGTAGGCAAAGTGTCTGCTGCCCTAAATGCACTAAATGCAAATCATTCGAAAACCTTTGATTGCATCTCTAGACTATGCCTATAACATGTGCAGTCAGAGAGGTAAAATGCAGTTTATACCACACAGTCCAAATGTTCAGAAGATTCAGCACAGAAGAAAGCAATTTACCGTTAGCATTAAAGTTAATACCATTGAAAGCAAACCAAATGTTCTTATCCAACAGAGCGTGGAAAATTCATCCTGTCTTGGTACCAGTCCCTGGTTTCAAATTAGTAGATATGTCTCAACTCTTCACTTTCTTTCTTTATCATTTTCTTCCTTATCTCTTATTTTTATATTTCAAAATTGTATTTTAATTTACCACCCCCCTCATCCTGGTGTAAAGACACGTGATAGAGGAGAGATTCATGCACACTTAGTTGCTGGCCTAATCTTCTTCTGTTAAGGGAAATGAGAACAATTGTAACTTGTTTCAAGAAGAAATTTTCCCCTGCCATGCATACCATCCAAGAAACCGTCTTCCTTCGGGACCAAAACACCATTGATAATAATAAGAATAATAGATATGAAAAACTGGTACATGTCCATTTGCTATTCTGCCCTATTGGGGAATCTATATTGGGTTTAATAGAGAAAGAAACAAAATGATCAGTCACCTAGTTTTCATCTAGTGGCTAATATGGTTATAGGCTCTCTTATGGGTAGAGAACTTCTTAAAGTGATAGAAAGTAAAAGGTTTGGGAGGAGGGAAGAGGGACCATAATAATGTCTTAAGAGTGGTACGTACCAGGAAATAGACACATGGCGTCTGCCCTGCCCCCAGGAAGTAAAAGAGACTTCGGCCAGTCAGCAGGAGATTTCAAACCATTTCTCAGACACAAAGGCCACAGGAATTAGATGTCGATCAGAAGAAGAAGGTCTGCAGCGAGCAGAAAAATAGGCTTGCGCGTGCTGGTACATAACACACAATAGGCAAGCCAGGTCAGGCCTGCTTCGAGAAAAAGCAAAACTAGCTTCTTTAGAAGAAAGAAAGAAAGAAAATGAAAATTCCGTCTGAAGTAATGCTTTGGATTGGCTCATTGGTTTTTCTGATACAAAAAAATATATCTTTTATTCCCCAACCAGAGGGTTATTCTGACCAGTTAGTTATTTCCCCTCCAAATGCCAGTTGAAAAACACGAGAGGATAACAGGCCTAAGAGCCTTGTGACATTTAGGATACTATGTAGTGGGGCCAGAAGAGTGGGTTCCACCAGAGTTAGGTCATCTTTCCAAGTATTTCTGCTGTTAGAATCTATTTTCTCTCTCAATTTGTGCCTTAAGGAAAGGCCAACAACCCAGAAGTCTGGGACATAGAAGGAGTTTCAAATGTATGCCAGTTGGCAAGCATTGCGATGGCATGTCACTTTTCATTGATATTTTCCCCAGGCCAATGGGGGGGGGGTAGAGTGTGCAGAGAAAGAGTCCAACAAAGCATTACCTTAGGGGGAAAAAAAAGCAGTGAACCCTGTTCCAACCAATGTGTTTTTTTTTTCCCCTCCCCTGTAGGAGATTCCAGACAAAGCAGACCAGAGACATCAATGATGTGCCTGATAAAACACAGATGTGAAAATGATAGTGGGACAGAGCAGCACCAAAAAGATCTACACCTCTCTCCCACACCCCACGAGACCCCAGCATTGGTTGCCTGTAGTCCATGTCTGAATCAACATACACACACACACACATATACACACACTCACAAAAAAAAAAACACTCAATGAAATGGTTTGAAAATCCTTTTTTTCTTTCAATTCTTTTATCTACTCAGCCCTCTGCAAGCCTGGAGAATCCAAGCTCCCAGGATTTCTGAAGGGGATTTCAAAAGGTGTTGAGCAAAACAATTGATTGGGTCTGCTGCTCCTCAGGTACCTATTCTGAAAGGAAGGGTTTTATGTAATGAACATCATGGAGACTCCAACATGGAGAGAAACAGGAGAAAGAATGCATGTGGCAAGAAGCCACTAAAGAGAAAAAAGGGAAGGAAAATAAAATGCTCATTTGAGTTGATTAGACAAGGAAACACATTAAACTATGGGACAACATTGGTGAAACTCTCAAGCAGTTAGTCCTAAAGGCATCCTGGGATAATTTGCCTTCAAACGGACAAACGATATGATTTCAACCTATACATCCCACCATTGACCATTTCCAAAAGGCTATCAATAGAAGCATTTCCTGTTTTGTGCTGGAGGGCACTCTTCTATAGCCATTGGGCTTCCCTGGTCATGCTCATACCTTAAGCACCAGCCCTCCTGGCCTCTAAGTCAGCGTCTCTTCTGATTGACTACTGACATACTCTCAGTTCGGTACCATAGATTCGTGGGATCAAAAGATCATATATTTAAAACTGGAAGGGCTTGTAGATGACATCGAGTCCAACTCCCTTACTTTACGGATGAGGGAATAAATACTAAGAGAGATGGACTGACTTTCTCAGGGTTGCATATCTAATAAGCGTCAGAGGTCAAATTTGAACCCAGGTCTTCCTGGCTCCCAGTCCAACATTCTATCTACTGTGCCCTTAGCTTCTGGGATAACTAAACAAACTAATTCAGGCTATTTGCCTATAATAACTATTTTAATTTGATTTTGGATAAATCTTCGGGTGCCAAATTCACATCTATAATGAGGAAATACCAGTGAATATTTTTGAGGTGGTTAGATGGCATATTTTTTGAAAGCATAAGTAGGAGAACTCAATAATAAACAGTAGCAGCATTTAATCAGAGTAGAAAAAGGAAGGCAGACTGGTCAGTATTTGACATTTTAACTTTAGCTGCTGATGATATTTCATCGATAGGTACCCACAGCTCCTGGTTCAGGGAGTGGACAATAATAATCTGCTGATATCTAAAAGACCAATAAATCCAAGGTTGCCATTTGAACTCTCAGGGATGGCAACGGCATACACTTTAAAGCCCCACAGCAGGAGAGTGCTATTGTGTTTCACCTTTGCAAACCAGGAAGTGCTATATTAATGTCAATTGCCAATACCATCATTGCTACTATTATTCATAGGATTCCTTCTAATCCTTTGAATCTGGAATAAAACTTAACTGATTAGAACTCTTTAGGAGAGAAGAGGGTATTGATAAAAAGACCTAACCATGCTTCTTATAGTTAGCTCTGTATGCAGAGCACGATAGTAGCTATTTGCCTAATTAGCCTTTCTGTAAAACATGAACATAGGAGTCACACCTTGGGAACACAAGCAAATCTTCATCTATGTGGCATGGGATCTGCCATGAGCATTGCAAGACTCAACTGTACTTACTCCAAGGCTAAACTTACCTGTTTCCATTAAAGGTGGTTTTATACTCCCCAGTTGGGTGCAAAGTCTCATCAGTATACACGGGCACTGAGGTCCTAACACACTCATGTGAGCACTGCAGGGTTTCATTATAGGCGGTAAATATATCCAAGTTGCTGGGCACGCGGGCAGGAGTGAAATCCGTCAGATTTTGGCAGCTCTCTTCTTGCTGATTGATTTTCCGTTGGTGACTGTTTCTCCGTGTGTTTCCACTTTGTGCACAGCTAAGGGAGAATGGTGTGAAGTTGGAGATGCAGGGTATAGGATTGTGGGTTTGGGAGGACAGGGAATGAGGGGGTAACAAAATATACAAAGACACCATCACCATTTGAACGCAGGGCCTTCATTGCAAAGCATCAATTATACATCATTTAATATTAAATTATAATTCCCAAGCTCTTCAGAAGGCTCAACGACAATCAAGCAATCAGTTCCCTTTATTTTTTTATATCAAATTTGAATTTTAAATGTAAGCCATTACGGCAGGGAGAATTATTGAGAGGAGTGCTGTAGCCATGTTATCAGGAAGCCGGAGTTCTGTTTGCTCAATGAGTGTCAGTAAGAACAACGGCGTTAACATGCTTTCCCTTCCTGGTGCCTCAGTGGGACAAATAATTGGGATAGATAACTAACCACCAAATTAGTCTATGATAGTTGAGAAACACTGGAGATAGTATGAGAGGGGAAGCCCCAAATTATATATATACATATACAAAAAATATACATATATACATGCAAATAGCAATGTATTTGTGTGCAGTTATACATGCACAAATGTATGGATACATTATGCATATGTGTCTGTATAAACATCTACATATATTTGTGTATATGTACGCATGTATGTGCATGTATGTATTTATTCATCATGCACATATGTTCATATACATATGTAAATCTGTATATCCCTACACATGCATGCACATATGCATGTGCACATACATATATGCATGTATGTTGTATATAAAAATATATAGACATGCCTGACAGTACTTCCTATGGCCCATTGGGCCTTGATGGTCATGCTCATACTCTAGGCACCAGTCCTCCTGTCTTGTCTGTCAGCTTCTCTTGGGGGATGTTTTATAACTTGGGATTTCTTTATTTTTAGTCCAGATCCCCCAGGTTGAAAGCTAGATTCCATTCTACCAATATAACATTTGAAGATAAGCTGTGTGATATATCTGTATGACATATCTGACTTCTTATCCTAGCCTTAGGATTTTGGGAAAGAACTCAATCTGTACTTATAAGGTGGCAACTAGTACTCTTTTCTTTCTTTAGCATCTTGCAGCAAGAAGGGATAAGAAACAATTCAAAAGTTTCCATGGTCTTTGGAATGAAGTAGACAATTTGTGATTCAGTCTCCTTCATAGCATGTAATATCTGGAGCAAGACAGACAGTGAGTTTCATTAGCCTGCCAGTAGGAAAATATCAATAATATCTGCCATTTTTCAGATGTCTGTACTCCATTCATGGCAGTCTCCTCTGAGCAGTGGAAAAAGGAAGACAAAAGACTCGGGAGGAAACTGCCTGATAAGGTAATATGTTCAAATGGAACCCACCTTAGGACATGCTCTTCAATATTACGCCCCTAGATGACAGAGTTAGAGTTAAACCCCCTCATTTTATACATAAAAAAAAAACTGAAGACTAAAGGGAGAAATTGACTATCCAAGACAAAAAGAGGTAAACAGCAAACCCAGGTCCTCTGATTGCAGGGACATCACTCTTTCCATTGGGCCATTCTGCCTGCCCCCTCAGATAATATACTACTGTTCTATAGTCTGGGTTTTAGATCTCTGGAGAATGATGAAGTTGGGAGCAAAAAGGGTAACATATGGCCACTCTTCCTTCTTCTTGTGTGTCATGACTATTCAACGGTTTTCTTTGTTCAGGTGACGGTGGTGGAGGTGTTGGAGGGTAGTGTCCATGACTCCTGGGGTAGGACAGATCTTCATTACTTTCCCTATCCTAAAAGTGACTTTTGAAAGAAAAAATTTAATAATATGAAAATCCTCATAAAGTGCATTGGTATTAGTGTCTCTGTGTGTGTGTGTGTGTGTGTGTGTGTGTGTGAATTCTAACTCATTTATCCATCAGGAAGGAACAGATGGATTTTCCATTCATTCTGGAGTTCCCTAGGTTTCTTTACTCCCCATTCCCAATCCTGGGGCCACTAGCCCATTGATTTGTAGAGGCTTCCCAAAGAAACTCAAAGGTGATAAGCAAATCCTTTTATGGAATTAGACTTCTCACCTCCATTTGGGCCTCACTTGAGTCCCATTGGAAAACTCTTTTAGTGACAGAACATCACTTCTGATACAGAGCAATGGATGCTACTTTGTGCTCACATATCAGAAAGCTCCTTCCACAGATCTGTAGAGCAAGGTGGACTTAAATCATTCCTAACTTGCCAATCTGGCTGACCCCTATCTACCAAGCCCCATTATATATCTTTGCCTGACTGCCCTTCATTTGTTTGCAGGCAATGTTCTGTGGGCACAGGGATTTTTTTAAAAGGTATCAAGGAAGTTCCCTTGGCACCTTTGGGCTCACTCTTCTATGCTCTGTGACTGTGTGATACCCTGGATATTTGGTACTTCCTTCTCTAATCCCATCAACTGAATAATCAACTAGATCCCTTCCTATTCCTCTTATTTAGGGGTTTGGATGTCCTTTGCACCCACCATCCAGTATTTCTTTTAGATTATTATCTGGAGATAGCAAGGGGCTCATTTAGGTACATCACACTACAAGAGAACCGAGCTTTGAAGCAACAATGAGGACACATTTTCTGGAAGAATAACTACCTGCAAATTGGGGGTGGGAGAGATATTAGAGGGGCTTCCAAAGTGCCTTTGTGAACAGTGATTTTCCCAATTTCCCCAGCGATGCAGGTGGGGAAGCGGTGATGGCAGATACATAACACCCAGCAAATCTGACCTCAAAGTAGGCCAATTTCCATAAGAAAACAGGCAAAAGCAGGGATGCCTGAAGCTAAGAGCTAACCTATTTCACTATTTGCAAAGCTGATTTTTTAGGGAAAACTAGGGAGTAAATTAAACAAGCAAAGTGAATGAAATTGTCCAAGAATCCATGTGCTGGGGAAGGGTAGATACACAGAATGGAGGGGAGAGGGGACAGAACAGAGGGAGAGTCATACGTTAGGAGAATCTCACTGGGAGTATGGGAACATTCACTAAAGGTTTGGAGAAGGTAAAAAAGGAAATAATAACCACTGAACTGGTAGGCTGGCCTGGTTCTTGTTTTTACAAGTTGCTTTTGGATCAGACAGGAGGATTTGGGAAACACAAGCAGCAAGGCATCTGGGAAGCTATTTGAATATGGTTGGTGCTCAGTACAGCTCCTGCCGAGGGAGCCATGGGGCAGGATGATTTGCCCTAAATAGCAGGAGTAGCTTCAAAAACATTAACTAGCCCAAGGAGTCACAGCAGAGAAGGCCAACAAGTTTATATGCTGGGGAATCAGCTAGAAAGAACACTGGGACTTTGAAATTGAAAATAATAATGGTAGTAGTAATAATGACACTTGTCTTTTTTTTTTTCTACGTGTCTTAACAGACAAAGGAATAAATTATATTCTCATAGGTCTGGAGCTGGAAGGGACCTTGGAGGACATCCAGTCCACTGCCCTCATTTTACAAAGGAGGAAATTGAGACTTGGAGAAGCAAAGTGGATTGCCCAGGGTCACCCAGTAAGTAAGCGTCAGAAGACGGATTTGAATTTGGGTCTTCCTTACCTCCAAATCTAGCACTCTTCAAACAACTGCTTAGCATACATTTTCCCCAAGTCCCAGGGGCCTCCAAAGATAGCCACCCTACCCTGCTTTCCCCAAGCCAGAAGAGTCCTTACCAATTTTTTAAGACAAGAGTTGTAATCAGAGCAGCTATAACCATGATGAGGGAGACAGTGATGGTTATTATCTGATGGACAGCCAGACCTGCAAAAAAAGAAAGAAAAGGAGGGAAAAGTGGAGATAGGGGGATATCCATGAAATTCATGAGCAAAAAAGGAAGGGCAAATTTTTAAAAGTGAAACAAATACATTAGTGGTACTTGGTTAAAAAACAAAATAATCAAGTGTAATTCATGACCAGCCTTCCAATTTCTCTGAAATGATGTGAGTCACATTGCAGATTAGAGAGGACGACAGCCACCTAAGTATTACCCTTTCTGGGACACTGTTGGACACCAGCTGCATGGTGCTGGGATCAAAGACCCGCAGAAGCCTCTGGGGAAGGTCTTGGTTTCAGTGTCGTCAATTCTCACTAACTGTCCCTTTCCCAGAACCCAACCCTTCAGTTCACACCACTACTGCTTTTTCTTCATCCCCTTCACCTTCTTCCTACTTTGCCATGAGATACGGAGGAGAATAGGAAGAAGCCTGGATATGGAGACAGATCCCTCATTTCTAGTCCAATCTCTTCTTACTCAAATGCAACTTCAATGAAACAGGCATCAAGAAAGTGCTGATCAATCAACACATGTTTGCAAGGGTCTACTCTGTGCAAGTGGCTGGGTAAAGTATTGGGGAAACAATCCAAATAATATATAAATGAGCATTTATAAAATGTTTGTTATGTACTAGATGCTGGGATAAGTAAGGAGGATATGAAGACAAAAGGGAACCAAACCCTGCTCTCAAGGAGCTAAGGTTCAAATAGAAGAGAGAGCACACACATGCACACACACAAGACACACATGCACACATGCCCATATACACACATGCATTTCATACATGTTTATATGAAGAAGTATGTACATATATATATATATATATACATACATACATACACATGTATGCACAGCAGGCAGCTAGATGGCACAGTGGATACAATGCCAGATTTGGAGTCAGGAACACTAACCATCCTGAGTTCAAATCCGGCTTCAGACACTTACTAGCTATGTGACCCTGGGCAAGTCACTTAACTCCATTTGCCTCAGTTTCCTCATTTGGAAAATGAGCTGGAGAAGGAAATGGCAAACCACTCCAGTATCTCTATCAAGAAAACCCCAAATGTGGTCATGAAGAGTCAGACATGACTGAAAATAGCTGAACAACAACCATGCGTATATATCACATCTGTCTCTATCTGTCTGTTCATATATACATGCATATATGTGCGCACGCATACAGTCGTGGTGTCCAAAGAAAAGCGGATTCAATTTTAGAGCACATATGGCAAAAAGGTTAACTCCTAGCTGTATTTTGCACTGCAAGGAACTGTGAAACAATCTTAGTACAGGGAATGTTGTGTTGCATGCTACAGAGTAGTAACACAGTGCCAGTTTGAAGAGTGAGAAAAAGGCATAAAGACATACACACACACACACACATACACACAGAAAGAGAGACAGAGGCACAGAATTACACATAGAGAGAGATGTAAAGAAAGATTGGGAGAGTGAGGGAGGGAGGGAAAAAGAAAAGAGAGAGGTACATACAAGCTGACTATAAGGAAGATACATGTTAACCTTGGCTGAGAAGTTACCAGCAATTAAGAGGACTATGAAAGGCCTCCTGGGGATACAAAGACAAAAAAAGAAACAGTCTTCATCTATATGGAACTTATATTCTACTAGAATGGACAGAGGTGACCAAGTGAATAAATTCAAAGCATATACAAAGTAATTTCAAGGAGCAAAGAACCCTGAGAACTTAAGACTCTGTGAGGAGGCCAGGAGAAAGCCCCATCATAAATA